CTTTATATATGAACTATAATTTTATTCCTTAAAACCATTTATTGGACACAAATAATATTTTCTAAACTCGTGTACATAGTTTCATTAAAATCAGAATTTCACGAAATTGCTTTGTTAGAATCATTTGTGTAAAATTTCATAAGAATTTGGATTGTTGAAGATTGTAAGAATTATTGATTGTCTAATCAATAAATAATAATAAAGATAATGAAATACATAATTTATTTAGGCCAAAAATATCAGCAAGTCATAGGAAGTAAAGCAAAAGATGTAAAAAAAGAGGTGAAAGTGCCTAGTATCAAGTCCACGAATCCTCTAGATAATTTAGATTGTAAGTATATCTTGCGCTGCATTGTGCAATACTTGACATAAGGATTTGTCATATATGACAATATCTAAATCTCGCATTTCTTTATCTTTTTCAGTCGACAGTGATGCTTTCAAGAATGGAATTAATTCGATTGCCAAGTTACTGAACGTACCGAAACATTCTGATCATCTTATAACACTACAAGCATGCAGCAAACTCGTGTGCAACAAGTTAAACACGGATGCGATTAAACAATCTAATAGTGCCGCGTACGCCAAAAATAAATCTCTGACAAAAACAATAATAGGACCTAGCTTTAATATGGGCGACGGGATGTTAGACAACGCCGCCAAAGGTCTTGCCTTATTATACATTCAAGATCTTAGGAATCTTCAGACAAAGATTAATGAGACGATAGTCGCTGTGCAAAATATAACAGCTAATCCAAAAACGGACACCAAACTAGGAAAAGTTGGTAGATAAATGGTCATATTTTGTATTCCAGAAAAATAAATATGGTAGATTCATAAATAGCTTGTTTAAATTTTTGTAATACAAAGAATATAAACTACATTAGATTAGCAAAATATTTAATGCGTACACATCTCAAAGCAATTTCAAAAAGCATTTGTACTAGAAAATGAATTTTTGACTTTCTAATGTAAATGTTAATTTATTTTTACTTTATGCTAAATCTGTAAATATATCTCGTCTTTGCAAAGAAATGCAAATGTGTTACATTTGATTCTCTCTTGTACAATATATGTTATGCATGGATTTGCTAGTGTTACGAAAACCAGTATGTTAAAATCATACTGTTAATTTATACGTAAATATTAGAAACATTAGAATAGTGTACTTTAATCGTATTAGAATATATATATATATA